CATGTGTCTAAAAAAGAGCATTTCAAGCAGACAACCAACACCCATTTTATTGAGCCACGTTCGGACATGAGCATCAGTTTAATATTCATAATCATGAGTTATCATTTCCTTCTGATAAAACGAGCCTCAAGAAAAGGGTGCTTATCAAAATTGCAGAACGTTCGCCATCGCCAAGTGCTTTCTGAAAGGACTGTAGCAAGACTCGAGCTCTTTTTGAGGACCATTCGAATAGAGAGCTTATGTTGAAAAATAAAGTGAGAAAAAAGATAGGCTCGATTTGAATGGGATACAAGAGTAAACTTTCACGCCTTAATTCACACAGTCACTGTCACCCTTTGCGTAATAAATCAAAAGAAACAAAATCAAAATGATGCTAGAACAAATACAAAAACGAACTTTTTCCATTGGTGGGTACAGAGGCGCTTTTGTTCAATGGTGGTGCCACAAGTGGTTTGTAAGCGCCACTGGTGTTGTTTAACGACATATGAGCTACTTTTTTGGCCTCATGGAGCTGAAAATACACATTTTCAGAGAAGAAAACATCCTTATACATTGGAACTTCTGCACTACACGTCTAATAAGCATGAGTATACCCAGTATATATTTTCATGAGAAATAAGCGCAACTCCAAGAAATTGTCACGACAATCAATGGGATACCAGTGAATTTTGCTAAACTGCCGGAAACAACAAACCAATCCTGTTATCTAAAATCCGTCTAATCCGCTTGAGATCGTAACATATTCGAACCTCCTTTTGACTTCTCTAACACGGCGGTATGTTCTTGGCCAGAGCAGCGAACAAGGTTGGACAGAGAATGAACCAAATATCAGCGAGTATTTGGCATTAATTTCCATCTGATATTGCGAACATTGCCCTTTAATTCTGATCCAGCAGATATGCCCAAATGTTGTTATTGTCCAGTTTTTCTTGACCGTCCAGCATGAAGAGGCTTTTTTCTACGGAAATGAAAGGACAACACCGGAATCGTTCGAATGAAACGTAGGTGGCCGTTCTCAACAATTCTTACGGTTATATTTGGAATGCAGATGTAGTGAACAGTGCAATAATAATCACAATTCAGGTTTACAGAGCGCGTACGCCACAAGCGA